GTAAAGATCTTATTATCCCAAGGAGTTTTTCCTCCACCTCTTCCGAAACTATGATGCTAGTTTCATGAAAGACGCTCCCCCCTCCCTTCAGGGCCGGATTCAATTCTTTCCTAAGGGGGGTGGGGGACGAAAATCCCTTTAATTTATTTGTTTTTAACGATATAGTTTCTTCATTTTCAGTGCATGTTTACTTTGACCTACATACATACATTAAATGTAGGCCCTTTATCAGGACAATCCCAGTTGGGAAGACAGAGAAAATTTAAAGGGATTTTCGTCCCCCAACCCCTTTGGTGATGATTGAATCCGGTCCCAGAAAGTCACGAATACAACCGCTGGTTGAGATGTTACCGAGAAACGGTCATTCTGGGGCCCGGCAATTTTTGGATCTGAAAATTTTTTGACCCGTTACACGTCAGGACACGTTGAGACGTGCTTTTACCAATAACCGGAAGAAGGCTGCGACGGTGAGGTTCCAATCGTGTGACTGGTCGTCGCGGTGGCAGGTTGTCAATAAAGTATGGACTCATTTTGCGACTTTCCGTTGTCTGTTGTTTACTGCTAGTGAAATATTTGCACCGAAACCAGCAGTAGATGTGCGCCATTAACGAGACTGCCCACCTGCATCGTTGCTGGCGACTGCAACGCGTGCATGTCCCGTGACCTTGGTTCGCCAACTATTCTTATCAAATTGTTGATAGCGCTACTTTCCATTGATTGCTTTAAGGACATTCATTTATCCATTCCAACTAAAGTCTGGAAACGGTACACCATGGTTTATTTGTCTTTCTGCGATTGTGTTCTGCATTTGGAACGGTTATTTACAGGTTTGTTTATGCTTTGCTGGCTTGAGTAGTTTGTGTTCAGAACTTCAATCACATCCAAATGGCCCTTCGTTTTAGGGTAGCTATCACGGCCAATATTATGATCCGAAGAATTTCTTTTCGAGCATTTTGACCTATGTCGGTAAGGCTTTGTTTACCATTCCCAACAGTCTCTCTTCCAACGTATGCGTATGTCCGAAGCATTTCAGGCATGTCTATGTTTGCCCTCGGAATGCTTATCAATATACACTCGGATAGTATCCTTCGTAATCTTCGGAAACCTGGCGAAGTAGGGTATAAGATACCTCGAGGTATGTGAACTCAATACCCTGGAATTACCATCATGGCAGTCCACTTTCAACAAGGTAGCTGTGGTAATCTTGTCGTATTGATTTCGTGTGCAAAAGTTAGCGGTATTCGCCACTGCAGTTTACACAGTTTTATGTTCTCATTGATTTTCGGATTAATCAGAACCGTGTTAGCTGAGAGATTCCAGGTGGAATGTTCGAATACGTTTCTGGTGCGAACTTCTTTGGTGAAATAGTCGAATGGACTGGCTTCGCCGTAATGTCAGGATCACTACCGGCTATCTCTTTTGCCATATTCACTGCTTGTAATATTGGACCGCGAGCACTACAGCATCATCAGTAAGTTTAGACTAAATATGTGCATATTTAATTTCAGTCATGTAGTTGGCCATTCATGTAGGTGAATGCACGATTCGTGCATGTGTACATTGCGATCGATTATTTTCTAATCGCTTGGCCACGTTAGCAGTCGACGTGTCTGAATGTTATGAGCATCACGGTGTCATCAGCTTTCAATATGAAATTGGCGTTATTGTAGATACCACCATGCTCTTTTCCAGTTTTCGCTGGCGCTCTGATGTGCTTTTACCGACAACAAAATAACAGTTTGGAAAGGCTGAATAGTTGAGCGCTGGAGCGCGTCCAGCGTATTCATCTTCATCTTTCCCAGCTCCTCACTTTCTCTGCCGTTTTTGGCGCCTCTTAAACGACCCATTTTATAGAGAATTTAAATGCTATCCTATGTTATGATCGAACTAATTTCCCTCCTTTCAATCATTCTCACCTTTCCTAGAGATTACGCGATGGAGCATGATTGCTATAGAGATTTAAGCTCAGTCGTATTGGTGGCTGATGCAAAATATAACTGCTTCAAGCAATATTGAATCAATAGGCTAGGTGTCACCCGTACTGACACCAAAAATATTTCCTCTTATGTGGTGGTACCACGAACTTTGTTTATTTCAGATGGTACCTGAACAAGTTTCCTGATTACCCAAGAGATCGCAAAGCTGTGATTCCTTTTGTGTTATAATTACTATTTCGTAAGCCTTATAATATTTCTATGTTCACATTTTCTCGAACTGCCTTTACTTATGTATTGTGATCTGTGATGGGTTCGCTGTTCTAAGGATAGGACTCCCCAACAGGTTCGTGAAACAGAAAATGTTGTTTCATTTTGACAAGTGATTATTTGCCGTCCTTTTCATGGTGTAACCAACGCTTCTTAGGTTCAGCTCGGAATCGCAAATTATTCCTTGTAGCTTATTAGTATATGGCTCAAGTGTTGTTGAAGAGGCATTTTGGTGCAGAATTCATGGCATTTTAAACAGTTACAAGCTTTCTATTTCAATACATGCGTTCATGAAGGGATAATCACAGAGTTCATTTTTGCCCAAGCGAATTCGTTCACGCACCTCCCAGCTTTTCCCCTCCCCCAGTTGTGGTTACTGTAAAGGAAACGAACCATCGCCCCAGAATGCTCCCACTAATTGCACGAGCATATAGCACTAAAATATCTCAACGGTTCAACCTCCCACCCGCCAGTGTTCACTTTGAGCTCATAAGATCGGTTTTATACCTAGTACATTCAACAATGCTATTTCACCGAGTAATACACTGAACATCGTTCTCTAGTAATTCCTAGTTTTGTTATAGTAGCACATTCAATAAAAATCATACTTGTTCCATTGATTTTGAAAGATTTATTCCGCATTACGGTGAAGGATTTCTTCGACATTTTAACAAATGTGTTTTCCACTGTTCTTTCTTTTCTTTGTCATTCGTTTCCATTTGCCGTCGTTCTTCTCATTGTCACTATTACAATGTTTTCATTCGCCACTATGCTTTGTTTCGGTAGATTTTAGTGAGCATTCACTGAGCCACCATCACGTAATAGAAGGGGCCAGGCCATGAACATAGAGAACACACAAAGGGACAGTTCAGCACTTCCACCCCTCTTTGTCTGCGCTCACACCGAGGATTAGTGGAATAATTGGCTAGGAGAGGCGAAATCCTTTTCATTAGCAGCAGCTTCTTATTCTTGATTGGTTCTTACCCTGCCAATCCTGTGTTATTGAGCACCACTTTGAGCATGAAAACCCCCGGTCCAAGTTGATCGGTTGGTTTATTCATCGAGAATGTGTAACATCCAGTGCCTTTCAGACTTCCATTATTTCATATACAAGCGATTTCATGCTCTATTCAGATACAAATCATTTTCATATTTATCGTCTGCAGAGGAGGTTATTTTGGCAGTATTTTAAAGAAGGAAGTGAGGATACATACTTCGTTGCGTGGTGGCATAATGTATGTTTAATTCAGTAGTTTTTCAGCAACACAGGGTATTCCTTCGGAAACGAACTGTTCTTCTACTATTTGGTTTTCTGTACTTTAGTTCTTTATCGACAACGAATTTTTAAAGATATTCTCTATGTTTAGTACAACCAATATATCATACTGGTATAAGTTTAAGTTTCTTGTTTCAGCTATACTGAGTCTTTTGACTCAATTTTCCTCCTGGTTTCAGCTTCATTACGTTATTCACATGGGTGCTCCTAATGCTTCTAGCCCCCATAATAGTGCGTCATTTTTATCCTGTAATGATTTAATGTCAAGGTAAGGTTTAGGTCTTATGACTGGCCACCAATATCGATGTTTAGTTAGCCTCGTAGGAAAGGGTGCTCACATTTTCCTCAGAAAAGTGTTGCTAATCTGCTGCTTTCTCCCTGACCAGGGAAGGCATTCAACTTCCCATGGAACTTTGAGTTGAGACCCAGATATATCGATAGAGCTTCAAACGCTGATTACAAATATGGAAACTAAAACTGCAAAATGAACCTGCCAAGGAAGTTGTGAGCAGTCAAATTGAAGTAAGCGTTGCATATGAACCGTGCTACCTCCAGGCTTTCAGAGTCGCCGCGGAGTAGTGGTAGTGCCCTGCTCTTCACCCGGAAGGTCATAAGTTCTCTTCCTGTTGGAGTGCAAATTTCGGAGAGCGCTACTGCTACTCCGTGGCGATTTGAAAGCCTGAAGGATAGCACGGTTCATACGTAACGCTTTACTTTCAGCCAACTTTGACTGCTCACAACTTCCTTGGCAGGTTCATTTTGCAGTTTTAGTTTCCATATGTAATCAGCGTTTGGAGCTCTATCGATATATCTGGGTCTCAATTCAAAGTTCCATGGGATGTTGAATGCCTTCCCTTGTTAGACTAAATTGTAATCTTATACTCATTGACCCAGTGTGGTGAGGGCACGAATATTTTCCACGAGAAACTACCGAATCAGCTTGTGATAACTTCAAACGATTTCGGCCACTTTGAATTTTCTTATTTGGTTATTTAATGCGAATACTAGCGGTAGGTGTCTACAAAGTTGTTTTTATCTTCACGATTTACAACGCCTCATTCTTCATGGAACAGGCGTTTTCAAGCTCTGCTTTTCTGATATCAGACTAAAACAACGCTCGTGTAAATTTAGTTCGCTTAAGTTTGACAGATGGAATTATTGCCTTCAACGACTCCTGCAGCGCCACGACGATGGTCGTTCGCGTTCGCACACTGCTTTCTCCAGTCTAATCCCTTCTCGTCTCGTCATCCAAAAATTGTCATTCTTATTGTTTTCTAGCTATGGCTGCTGATTCTGCTTTTGAAGCAGGAAACACTGACTCCAATAAACATATCCAGATTCCCCGTCACAGGTCAACATGGTACGGTGTTCCTCCCCGCCATGAGCCCAATCATTAAGATCCTACTCGATTCGTTCAAAATATTTTTCGAGTTAGATTAGAATGTCTGTTAAAATACTAGACCATTTTGAAAATAGGCGTCCACAGTTGGAATTCACTCCTCTCAAGAGCTACAGAAACTGCGATATGTTCAATAGCATCTAATCTCGCGCGATCAGCGCGACCTGGATTCAGGTCGGTAGATGTTCGCCAGCAGCCACCTTTTTTCTTATGTTCTATTTGTTGCTATTCTTTCATATGCATTTCTTATTTCACAGCATGATGAAGTTTCTTTCATAGCGACGATAACCTTCCATTTTCTTTTTTATTGTATTTTATTTTTATTTTTGTTTTTATTTTTCATGTACCCTTTCTTTTCGTATCCGTATATTATTAGTAGTTAAGTGAGGACAGAAAACTGCATTAATATGGTTAGAAGTGGAAGCGATAGTTCTGCAATATTCGGGCGGTCTTTAACATCTAAGAAATGCAGGAGTGAGTGTTGTACGTTTGAGTAGTATTCAAGCGATTTCAAGGCAAGAGTTCGCAGCCGAAAAGCTTGCAACGGAGTTTCCTCTTCAAATGTTACTGTTCTTTTTTGGAATGATGCAGTCAACGGAACATTTACGCACTCGAAAAAAGGCAGTAAATCGAACAGTCACGCTATTCGCAGCTAATTTTATCAAAAGATTTATGCGTAGTTGTGACGATGTAGCTTGTTGTGGGATGGTTCAATCATTTCCTTCGTTATTATCGAAAATAGACATACGCTTATGCAAGACTCATCAGTAAGAAAGGAAATAAGAATTGGGATGCGTATGGAATGAAAGATTGATACAACCAAGAAAAGCAATCATTTGTGAATATTCTATCAAAATGGGAGAGGAAATTGGGCAAAAATAGAAAAGACGTACCTATCTGACGCGAGGGGCTACATTAGCCATTTTCCTATGGATTTGGTGTGAATTCGGTTAACCTTGACGAGGGTTGTGATTAAAATCTCGTCCGAATGATCCATTTACACCAGCTACGACTTCGTTCTTGTGTGTTCCTCAATTTCTATTTATTGCCTCTATTTGCTTCAACGAGTGATAATTGTTTGAGAAGTGGAAATAGTGGTACTTCATTCAAGATATACAAAAAACGAATCACCATAAGAATGGGGAGGCTTCTCTGCTCAGTTTTGCACGAAATCCTTCGCAAAAAAGTAGTACAAGTATAGTAGGAAGAGCGTAATTTCAGAATTTCGGTCACTTCGTCTTATGTTTTCTAACACTTCTTTCTTTGTTTCGATAACATTTTCTCTATTCTGACTCATCTATACGGTCACAAAAGAAGGACCATCTTTGAACTAGCGAGCGAATTTGAGTTAGTTCTTTGAAACATTTTTCATTCTTTTAAACTAGGGCTTTCTTAGGGAGTTCATCCGACTCGAACCACATCTAGCCTCTACTTTCAGGAAAGGAAAATCTGTGGTAGAGAAATTCCATCCATTGCGGTGGCTTTGGTGCTATGAGTTTAAAGAAAGTCGTCTGTCTCGGACGAGATCAGTGAAGCTTACTACACATAGAGGGACGGGGTAGATGGGACCGCGGCACATCATATAGATTGTAAACCTTGATATTTAGCATCCTTTGATTCTTCAACCTCTGGTGGTTCGTTCAAATCCTGAATCGTTGGTGTTCGAGTTTGACTCCGGTTTTTAGAGTCATAAAAATAAACAGTGAGTGTTAGTAATGTTTCCGAACGGCTGAACTGTCTTTAGGAACTTCCCTTCAAATGACCCGACTGAGCAAATACTACGCAGGTGTTTTGGATGAAACAAAATTTGTGGGCCTTATGTGGAATTCTCCAACATTCCTATAAATGTGTGTAAACTGGGGAAGGTGCAGTAGGGAAAAGTCCCAAATTACTTGATTTCAAAGGCCTTCACCCGGAAGCTGCGAGGCCATTTTTAAAGAGATTCGGAAGACGCGCTGAGGTTCAGTGTTTGTTCCCCTAAGGGCGGAGACCGTACTACTCACTGATTTAATTTCTGAACGCGTGTAGAGTAATAGTAGGTCTTTTTGTTTTCTTGCAGCTTGTGGAAAGGGCAAGACGAGAATGAGTGTTCAAACACAGTATAATTTTGAATAATCAATGGAATGTAAATGAAGTTTTGAAGTTTTTGGGAAGTGCACCAGTTCATTAGATATGAACAATTGCCGTGTGCGAAGGAACGCAGTGATGCCCTCGATGGATAAGAGGGACCTAGACGATCGCCGGGCAAATAGTGACCTTGTTCGATGTTTTCTTGGACGCCTGTCCGAATGTTATCAACCTTTTTGTGTTCGACATTATGCAAGTCTCGGTGTAATTCAAGCAAAATCGATTCACCATTCACAATTAGCGTACTGCTGCGTCTGATCACATAATTATTTTAGAATCTATTACTATGTCTATTAGAAGAGCTTTCATTTCAAAGGGAACCACATTAACGTGAAAATGCATTGGCAACTTTCTGGAAGGCGAATTCAGCTTTGCAATTGACAGCGTTTAGCTATACCGATGTTAGCGTCCGCGTCGCGTCGGCCAGCGACTTGTTGCGATTTGCGAAGTTAACATCGGTGAAAGAGCAAATAAGGCGGAAGAAAAAGGCAGTGACAGGGGAATTAAACGATTCTTGTGATGCGACATGCAACAGCTTTAACGAAACCCATATTTCGCGTACTTTAGTTGTGTACTTGTGATGGGTAACAATTTTATCATTTGCAGAGATTCTTCAGAAAGCTCAGTTTCTAGATGGAATCGTAGACATTACCTGCCACGCACGTAAAATGAGATGAGCGAAGCAAAAGTGACGCCTGAAGAGAGCCAAGAAAAAGCAAACAGTGGAGAGAATGAAGAGAAAAAGGTGAACTTCCTTTCTCATTCTTCGGTATGGTTCATCAATTGGGAACCATCTGGTTATAAGAATATTCACGTGGTTGGTTGAAAAGCCTCTATTTCCTGGGGAATTTTCGGATGAGAACCAGACGCTATGCCATCAAACGTCAGTTTTTGAGCTACTATTCTAAGGTGGTTATGAATTCAGCAGATTCTGAGCGAAGATAGTTAGGAAAAACTACTTGTGAATAGCGGGCTGCAACTCATTCGATTGCCCCTCAAGCACTCAAAATGATGGGGGGTTGCTTTACTTATGAATTATAGAAAAGTTAGATTGTTGCTAGGTCAACCATCAGGAATAGTAGCTTTTTTTTCTCGTAATCGTGCTCGCAATCTAATCGTCGATAAGGAAGGTTTGTGGCCAGATAAGCATGGAAAAACAAAACCGAGACTCACAATATTATTTGTAACTACTAATTGTATGCGACTACCCATACTTGAACGGATAAACACAAGGAAATTAGTAATTTTCAAGCTGTTACTGTCTGGGTTCCTCGTAAACAGATTGCTGCGAAATACGCTATTATTAGGCACGTTCAACGGTCAGCATGGGCGCGTTCTGATAGAATAAATCCATGAAGTTGCATTTGATGGAAGGTCTGTCTTACTGCGGCTGCCACTTAGAATTATTTTACTTGATTGAGCGAGGTGCTCAATCAGGTAATTTCATCGCCCAAAAACTATGGGACGACAGATGTATTGTAGCGCCATTTGTCCACACGCTCATCGTATGATGAATCATTGATCTATATCGTAACGCCGTTTCAGGCCTACCAGAATTCATCTTTCCAATGCAGTTTATGCTACCAGAATCATAAGATAAACACTGACGTGGGGCGTGGCTTCCGCAAATATTTGTACAGGCCATATTGCTCAAAGTGACACTGCGATTTTAAATGAAAAATAAATGCGTGGCATTCATTACAAATAGTGAAGTTATTGAAGAGGCAATGACTACTTTCGGGAAAAATATTACAAAGAATGTTGGGAGAACTTCCCAGCGTCGCCTGGTACTTGCTTCTCAAGACGTACTTTTTTCCATGTGTTCCCTTGTCTCCGCCCGAGCTACCCGCCACCGTCCCCGGGGTGTGGCTTTCGTAGGTTGGTTTCTCTTCGGGAACTGAATCCTCTTGGGTGATACTTTGCACATTTTCTCTCATGGTCACCACTGGCGTACTCGTGTTGGGCAAAAAGGCAAGAATTTTCCGTGACCGATTCCTTTAAACGGCGATGAGGCGATTTTCCGGCGTTTCCAAGAAATGCTTCCTAATGTCGTAGAGCATCAATACAGCGGATAAAAAGGATGAAGCATTCACCGTTGATTAAGCTTTTCTGGGATGCGCCACGCATTCTACTTTCGTTCAGGATCTTAGTGGCATCTCCAGTGCGACTTGGCTTATACGACAAATTACCGGAAAAGACTATGCCAGAGTCAGTGTTTTTATCCTTCCCAGACAAGTCTGGTACCAATTAACCGACCCCGGAGGGATGGAAGGCTTGGTTGGCCCGGGCGACTCACGACCCAGGATTTGATTCCCCGAACCGCGCGCGTGGTAAGCAGTGCTACTTGCCACTACACCACTTTCGTACATACTCCGAACATGGCAGAATAACTAGAGCTCTATGCGGAATTTGAGAAAACTCAGTCCTGATTTATTACTAATTGTCAAGTCCAGCAAAAGTCCACTCGCCCAGTCAAGAGGAAGGCCGGGACAACTTTGAAAAATCCAAATTTTTTACTTCAGAGTCAGTAACTAGGGTGGATCCAGATATTTTCGGCCAAAGGTTTATCGTTACGTGAGCTGACCGCAAGCAAAGGAATCGGCTTCATACATTTAAAAAAAAACGAAAGCCTGAAATGAGCACTTTCAAAATTCTGTTTGATAAACCAATTGCTGTGAAAGTTGTGCATAGACCATGCTGCTCACCATAAATACTACAATGTAGCCATGGCTAACAAAACATTGTTACAAACTCAAAACATGCGCAAAAGATTGAACCCTTGAGGTGTCGCCCGGCATTGGTGACATTGTCGCCAGTGAGTTGAAGGCAACCCTCTCTTTCTGAGGTTCGCCTTATAATGACAGATGACTGTCACCTGTTGTAGGAAAGTGCGAAGCTTGGGATTCTATTCGTTACAAGGCTTCACAGGCGAACCACTGAATCTGCTTTAAATTCCAAGCCTAGGCTTTCAGATGTGCTTTTCTTTTATTAAGACACATCAAAGTTACAAAAAAGCACCATAATGACTAAAAGGTGGTACAACATCGTTTGGTAAGATTATGTGACGCTCGTCCGGAAAGGTAAGGTTTTTACGTTCAAAAAGCAGGTTCAACCCAAAGCAAGCTATTCCTCGGTTTCAGCCAAGAGAATACGGTTAGCTTTATTGAGTCGATTGAGAAGCCTCTTGAAAACTTCTTGCTGCTTTACTTTTGTGTGATGAAGTATGCTTGGTATTTGGGCGCATGCTATGTTGGCATGTATCTCGTTTCTTGTTACGCGAGTAACCCAATCACTACCTTCATAGAGTGGGTATTACCATGGCAACAATCACTGTGCCTTTCTTTGAATGTTTTCATTTCGACGTTGAATTCAATTAGCTGCGCCTTTCTTTGTCACTCCGCAATACGCCTGTTCGTTTAGGTGGATCATATTATATTTATCGAATAGTGGCTTCTATCCATATAATCTATCATCTGATATATCGGATCGGTAAGGCTATGAATCACTCAACAGCTACTACTTTGTGAAATTTCGGTTACTTCTGTAGATTTATTGAAAGGTCTGCGATACATTAGTTCCTCATGAGAATTACGGGGAAGTAATGTTATACAGAATAATAGCATGAATTATCACAAGAACGCTGACTTTTGTGCAGAACTTTCGCCCTAGCCGGGATTCGTACCCAGATCTCTTGTTTTCCGGGCAGTTTGCTACCAATTAAACTGGTAATGCAATGTAACTGGTAGCGGACTCGCCCGGAAAGGAAGAGATCCGGGTACGAATCCCAGCTGGGGCGAAAGTTCTGCCCACAAGTAGGCATTCTCGTCATTACTTTCGCAATGCAAACTCCGGCGTAAAACAGCATAGTACTCGTGGTACTAATTTCGTGATTCTTTTTTGTGTGCATAATCTAACATCACAGTAAATTACATCCTACTCTTTCAACCTCAGCATGTAGTTATAAGTTGTTTGTTCTCAAGTCCTAACAACCTCCCAAGGCACCGCGTAACTAACGAATCAAAGAGTTTTGTCATATGAGGCATAGCAGACATTTCTGCAGGATCATGCAACTTTCAGTCATCATTTCTGATTCTCTGCGATCGCAAAAATGTCATGTTAAAGGTACATTCCGCAACTAAACATTGGAACTACTCCGACAAGGTCTGAATTCGTAGCGATAGGGCCGTTTTCTACTCAAAACGCACTGGAAAGGAACACAGAAATCATTTCATCATCACAATTCAGAAAATCGGTCATAGGCACCTCAAGTAGCGAATGCTTGCCGTCACTGTGTCTGCCATCTCTACATTTTCTTGCTGTGGCTTTCTCGTCTCTATCTGTCGTGTCTCGCTCTGAGGCCTAGTTTCTTTTAAACTGCTCGTCTGTGAAACTCTCCTACCATGTAAGAACGGACCAAAAAAATATAACAACGCTTAACGTAGTGCTTTTTTTTGGTGCTAACTTAGTTGGGGGGGGGCCACGCGGCGGCGCGGCAGTCTGCTCGCCTGGCATGTTCGGAAATCCGTGGGCCAGGGGGAGTGTAGGCAGTCTAGGGGGTGGGGGTGGGGGCAGTCACTTGACATGCGTGAAAAGCTGGAATGTTCGAGTTTACACTGTCTCGCTCGAGAGAGCCCAGGTGAGCAGACTGCCGCGCCGCCGCGTGCCCCCCCCCCAACTAAGTTAGCACCTAGCCTTGTGGCTATCACGGAATGTGCCTTTTATACAGCCCTGGGTTCAGTTCTCGTCAAATAGCGCTGATTGTTAATGGAAAAATTTTGAAACCCACTTTTTGTACGTCGGAATTGTTTGTTTCCTTTTCTTGTTTTCTGATGACTCCAAAAAAGTTTTTTTGAGATCAACTTTCTGAAAAAGTGGGTGTCAGCACGAAAGCTACCTTTTTGCACTTGCTGAAAGGTATTTGCACGATTTTTCGTTTTCGTTTATACTTCGCGTGGAAATCTTTTGCTTCACTTATTAATCTAAATTTATAATCTAAGATCAACTAGAAACCCTTAGAAGTTTCAAATTTTGAATTTCCGGTGACCAGGTAATTACCTGAACAGGTGATTTAGAGTTTGTCAAGCGTTCTCGTTTATCAGCTGTTGCCACGGCAATTCATTAGTTGCACCTACACTGTCGTCAAACAAATTGTGCTCTTACTTCCTTTTCTTGTTCCTTCTTCCCTCTGTGTTGCTTTCGCTTGTGTTTCATTTGGTAAGCGCCAGGAAGCGCTCACCAACCCCACTGTACGACACCTCCTTTCTCTTTACCGGAGGGTATGACCTCCTCTTTCATGATTAGTGGGACCCCTTTGGTCGATGGGATGCATCAGCAGTAGCGTTGATTTTCTTAATAGGTGAAACACTCTGAACTTTCTTTTCTACACCCCCCCCCTCCAAGTAGACCCCTCCCCTGCCATGAAGCAGAAATGCTCCCTCCCTCCCCTTGAGGAGTCCTCGACCCTTATTCAACCTAATATCGACATCTTACAACCGGAATGGGTGGGAACCTTATACTAGAATTAGAGGACCTCACGGCGACCAAACCCCCAATTTCGACAGATTACAATATGCTGTTCCATTTTGGAAAGGAGAAGTGGAAAGGGACGCATCGGAGGCACTGCGTCTCTGAAAAGAATCCGTGGAGTATTTTCGCGTGATGGCGAGCCCCTTGGACGCGACGCGCGCTTGGGACGTCACTGTGACGTCATCAACGCGCGTCCGCGTCCAAGGGGCCCGTATTGAGGCTCTTGGGGAAGAGGAGACTGCAAAAATTTTGATGTCAACACAATGGAGTTTGAACCAAGCTCGTACTCTGTCAAACCTAATAATAACCTGTTCTACTTGAGGAACAATTAAATTAGGCCTAAGAGGTGCCGTCTTGCTTGACTTAAGTTACTGGGTGCGAGCCTCGGCACGCGGCATGTTCGGCGCCCTCTTAACGAGAGAGTGGGTCACCTTCACAATTTCAGCTTTCATAATTGTCAAGGTGAGTCGCTCTATCCACATTTCCAACGCTCTGAACTGCGTTACGGCCCTCCTCCCCCCCCTCCCGCCCTCACAGCAGTTCATTCACGGATTCTTCGCTTCGCCTGTGACAAGGCCGAACATTGCCGCGAACGGGGCTTTCCCTACCAAATTACTTACCAGGAAGGTCTTTCAGGGCGTGACAAGCTTTTTGAAAACGGTCTTTTGCATGATATAGGGGCAGATGCGGGAACCACAGAACCATGTTCAATTTTTCCTGAACGGCCCTCTGAATACCAGAAAAGGAGGTCCCTAGTTCGATTCCTCGTGGTAACAAATTTTTGCATTTCGAGTTGACGTGCCAAAATTCGCGCAAAATGGAGTTAGAACCAACCAGAACAATCAGAACTCCATTTTGCGCGAATTTTGGAACGTCAACTCGAAATGCAAAAATTTGTCACCAAGAGGAATCGAACTAGGGACCCCCTTTTCTGGTATTCAGAGGGCCGTTCAGGAAAAATTAAACATGGTTCTGTGGTCCCGCATCTGCCCCTATATCATGCAAAAGACCGTTTTCAAAAAGCTTGTCACGCCCTGAAAGACCTTCCTGGTTAGCCGCGTATTCGCCTTTTTGCGTTTTTACATTGCGAAGTAATGTGATAAGCGCAAGCTTCTTTCAAGTCTTGTTGGGTATGATCTGCCAGAAAATACGTTAATGGATTTACAATACCTTCCCTTCCTGCCTTCATGCTTTACAATTCAGTATTGTACCTGTATTTCTTCAACCTATCCTATTGTTCTTATCAATATTGCATGGTGGATATGGTGCGCTATCAGACTTTGATTAGGTTCATGGGAAGCTTGGTATGATTCATTTCGCAGCTCGTATCATCACGGCGACGTCGTTAGTGCTATAATGTTATTCTTTTTGTTTAATTTACTTATAACCCTTGCTGTGAAGCTCTGATTGACTGATATGAATACATTAGTGAACCGTATGGCAAATAAGGTATGCATAAGAGCTCTGGTTAAGGGTTCTCCTGAAACCATTTGAATACTGTTGATTTTCTAGGTGAAATTCAACATTATTAAGCATATCAGTACAGCTATACTAAATGGAGACAACTTTGCAAACATTTTGGTCCCCGGATCGGTTATCACCGTTCCTATACTCGTTGTTGAACTTTTCTACTACTTGAAAGTCCGTTTTCTATGGCAGCTGTGGTAGTAAAGTGTGCTTATCGATTGGATAAACAGCACCAGTCGATCGCACTTATCCGCGTGCCGGGCTCAATCGATAATGCCAACTAAATCGAAGTTTTACAGCAATCTATCAACTAACGTACAATATATACTTTCACTGGATCCATATTATTATTGTGGTTACAATATTTGTCAGTATTATAAAGTACTTGGGAATTGTAATTATTCGCTGGGTGGAACCAATAACGATTCTTAAAAATCACCGAATACTAGACAAAATCTGTCGTATACTGTAGTATCAATTTGTAAGGCGATGTGCGAGGAAATTAGCTACGATGAAATCTACATGCCCGGCGAGTTCGAAAGAGACACAGACGGTGCGAGTTCACGTCGACAGGCTACAAGCGTCACGGAAAACGTGAAGAAAGAGGAAGGCGGAGATAGCAGTGCAGCAGTGGACGCCGCAAAGAGCAAGCCATCTGCATCGCATCCGCCTAATGAGGTATAGTGCATTAATCTTGTTTCTTTTGAGGCGGAATGGGGAAGGTAATTGTCTCTGAGCAGCTTCCCAGTGCTATACAAATACACCTACCTGAACATTCGCAAGGTTGTAGCTCGACGTTGACAAAAAATTGTGCCTTTCGGAATAGGAATTCCGGAACTGCACGCATTTAGTTTCAGCGAGCCAAAATTCGGTACATATTTGCATTTATGTTAAAGGTTTTGGCAACAGAAGCCGATGACGAGAGACGTAATCATCATCGGACGCCGTGGTAAATTTAGAATAGGGAAAAATTGTGTCGGAAGCACATTTCCCCCTATCTAATTTACTCACGATCTCTCAGTAAGCCAATTCTCTCCCGTGACAAGAATACTTTTTCGGTTTCGTAGGCTTGTTAGCTAAGTACATCCAAAGCAAAGAGCTCCATAGAAAACACTGTAATTTCTTTCATGAGGTCGCACGCGGTATGACGCCGCTGAGAGGGGAAAGCGTGTGTACTTGTGCGCGAGAAGGCGCCGTCGCCACGTTAGCCGTTTATAGCAGCGCCGGAATCTGTTGCAAGCGCCTTTTGGCTCTTCACAGCCCTTTGCGCATAGGACCTGCTCCCACTTCGGGAGTCAATTTATTGGCACCTAATCCCATCAGGGTGAATAACGGTCGAGGAATTCCTCGACCATCGCTCTCTGCTGTGCGAGAGTAGAGCCGATAGTGAATGTACGCGCGGAGAGCACAGACGGCTCGCGGGTGGCGAGAGTGAATATCCGCGCGCGAGAACGTAAAGGATCAGGCGAAAATCCTCGACGTGCCGTTGAGGAATCCTTCAAGCAATCCTGCATACCTACCCGTGCGTTATATCTTGAAGTCGGTTTATCGCTCCAAATCAGAGCACCTCTGAACAGTGAACATTTCTTTTTAGTTATTCTTCTGCCTGTTGCTGACATTTTTAATTTAAAATTCGTCAACGAACTTGGGAAGCGAAAAAATGAAAAAGTGAAGAGGGAATTCCAAGTTTCTGCGATCTCTGCTGGTTGTTGCTAGAAATTTCAAACAGAAATGAAATTTCCTACCGTATTGCTGATCAAATGACTTGCAGTCAGTACTTACAGTTACGAGTATGTTTTCGTTACTATGTTCGGTTGTGAATCGTCGCCAATTCGGCACTTGCTTCCATCCTTGGTCCTTTTTTCCAGAAAAAGGCTTAAAGGCCTAAGCTTTGTTTTATTAGAAGGAGAGTGAGATAGATTAGCACGGCGCGCTTACAAGTGGGTGCCGCACTACGCAACTGGGCGCTAAGGGGCACATATGTGCAATGCTTTGACGTGATTTATACCTTCTATTGATTATTTCTGATTTTCTTGCTCAGATGCGATTGAGTTGCCTTATCCGCCTGTTGAAAATGACAAATTCCTTGTGAGGTTGACCGTGATACGATGGAGAAACGACGCAGCTCGAAGAGGGGTTACGGTGAGAGTGCACATCGTACGGAGAGGCACAGCAACGGCGTAATGCTGAAATGTGAAATAGGCGTTGGAAGTTATCAGTGAGCTCGTGCTTCAACACTTAATCTGTTGTGTAATTCTCAATTAGAGAAAATTTCAAGTTCTTTTAATTCACGTGATGTTTAGGTTTTCAGAGACGGATTATTATTGTTTTCAAATTATTGTTTCTTGAATATTCATTTTCCAAATCATAGGGGAAAAATTAGGTTGCTGGGTGTAGGAGAAGTATTGGAACTGTATTCTTGGTCCATACTTATTGGCGCAAAAAAACATGCTTTCAGATAGTCGAAGATGTGATGCGTCATGTGGAGAGTGAAGAACTTGGAAAGAAAAAGAATGGAGATAGAGAAGATAGAGAAGGAAAAAGTAAAAAGATAATGAAAAGGAAAGGTAGAAGACAAGGGATTCAAGGTAAAAATAGGAAAGCACAGGACAAGGAAAAGGAAAAAGAGAAAGGCAAAGAGAAAGATAGGAAAACGAGCAAGCAGCGGTACACCAGAATCGTCGGATAACGAAGAAATCCCGCCGAAGACGTTCGACATCCAGGCGTCGTAGGCGAAAGGCTAGCAGGGCAAGCCCAACTACTAGCTGATAGTGAATTCGTTCCAAGAACACGGCAGATAGCAGAAGGTAACAGCTGATCAGCACGTCATTTTTGATTGCTGTGTAGTATAATCTGTTTTCGCTTCAGCAGATCCCCACGCAGATCGCGCCGTAAGCGCAGACGCAGCCCAGCCAGAAAACGTGCTCGAAGTTCGAGCTCGTCAAGTCGAGGAACTTATTGACGGATTGTGTGAGTTGATTGCATTTTTTTATTATAGATTTATGGACCTGTTATTTTTGATCTCAATTTGCTAGGTGCTTTACTCCTGAGGATGAATGCCCATATTCATGTAAAAAATGTCATCGTGGTTTCTATACAATAAAGGAATTGGCTGAGCATGAGATTAGAGCACATGACATGAATGAAGATATCCTGTGTGACCACTGTGATTAGGTGATTTTCAATGATTAATTTGCTCAGAATTTATTTGTTTTTTTTCAAGAAAATCTTCTATCTCGTTGCAGTATAGGTGGGGGAGCATGTGATGTGACAGTTCTTGCCGCTACAGAAATTCCAATTTTCTGCAAGAGGAGGGATTCCCCGGGGTGCGTGAACCATTTCGCTTGACTTTTTACACCCAGTCCCGGAGTTTTCCCTCCCCTTAAAAAAGTGGATTTTACTCGTGTCGATGAGATAATGAACTGAATGCCTGTCACTCAGCTACGCCCTCCTTCCTGTTCGCTATTAAGTTGTGACCCGAAATTTCTGACAGGGCTTACGTTATAAAGCGCAAGATCGTGTCACTGCGTTTTGGAGTTGAATTTAGGTCAATATTGGCCTGCATCGTCCGCTTCGATTGATTATTTTTATTCCATTATTTCGTTTCAGAATGCGGTTTCCGTCACTAAACTAGCAGCTCATATGCTATTTCGACATGCATCACACGATGTTGTGTGCTACTATTGTGATGAGAAGTTTGGCGGTCCGGCTGATAAACTTGATAAACCTTCATGGGACGATTTCAGAGCTCATATCTATAAGGTCAGTGCTTTTACGCGGTAGATATGAATGGTAGATGCTCACGTAGTTGTCCCGAGCTCAGCGAGCTGGATACAGGCCGTTATGAGAACGCAGGCGTTGCGCTTCCTTGCTGTTTGACGTTCTCACGATGGGACTCGGCTAGCATCGTGATAACACAGCGAAATTGATCTTAAAGGCATGGTGTCGCGTCCATCACAATGGCCCACTTGAGAGTTGAGCCATCCATCTAGAACATTTCGTTTTCACTGTAGTAGTGCTGGCGCAAAGTATGGCAAGGTTTTGGGGTAAAATTAGACTCCATAGAGCATTAGGCACATGATTCATCGTTAGGTGCGCGATAAAGAACGAATTACTGCAGTGCTTTATTCGAAGAAGTGGCAAATAGCTACTGTAGTAAATACTAGCTACCAGAAGGGAATCCTGTTGACCCGTTCAATATTCGATATGACATCCGATTTGAAGATACAACCATTTCAGGAAGTGTTGAAAAAGAAAATGTACGAACATTCGTCTAAGGCAAAATCTTCAACAAGCGATGCGGTTGCTCTTCGTGGTGTTGGTAGATGTCCCCACGGTGCGGCTGTAAAGTGCAAGTGCGTTACTGTTATATAACTTTATGAACATTACTGTACTGAAATCGTATCCCAGAAGCAAATTTACCCAGAATTTTTTTTTGGAATGATGGACGATGAGCTTTGTGCTTGCAGCAGGTTCTTGATTATACGCTTTCAGGAATTTTCCCTAATTGTCCCGGTGCAAAATGCATTTATTCCCATGGTAATTGTCGATATGATATCACTTGCAACAAATCCACCTGCCCGTTTGATCATACAAATCGACCACGTGTATGTATGGCGTGCCTCAACGATATGAAGGTGGGTTATACATGTTTAGGTAGTATTAAACAATAAAATTTGGTTGTAAATTTTGTATTTCTCGTAGCCGAGTGCATCCTTCATGCAAAAGTTACCTCGGTGTTGTTCACTAGAACAGAACGTGAAATGCTCTCACCCGCGCACTTAAAACTTACTGAAATTGAAAAAACCTTAAATACGACTGAATACTTTTCTCCTCGCGGCAAAAACCTCAGGTTCCTCATTAGTGATGGGTGACGGAATCTCCGCACCGAAAATGTTTCGCGTTTGAAAAGCGGAAATATTACGTTCTGTCCTAGCGAAACACACCTCTTTAAACCATCACACAGGCGTGACATAAAACAATCAATAGCATTAAAAATCACACGTGACGTTGATTTTTTCGAGACTAGCCACTTGTACTACTACTGCTTCATAAAATGAGTAGTTAACGTAGCGAACTATTGATTAATTCATGCTACGCCCTACTGCTAAGTCTGCATCGTAGAAGCACCTGGCTGCGCGATATGGAGTATAATTTAGCTAGTAGTATTTTTTTGTTTTTGGCGCTCATGACGTTGGGGGACATTGCCTCCACTTACAGAGTTTGGTACTAAACCTTAGGAGGGGAGGGGATTTTGGGGGAGGACGTAGGCATCCTTTGTTCTCTTTGGTGTCCCTCTCCTCTCCTGGGCTCAGTCCTTAGTGTCACTTACCAGCGTTTTTTAAGTGCCCTGTTTTGAATGTTCCCCCTAAGGACATGAGCGCCTTTTTTTCAAATGTCCTTCAGTGAATTCCATTAGCTATCCAACACAAACATCTCAATCTCGCTGACTTCACAGAAAAAGGCTAAAATTCATAATTCATAGTCAATTCGTCGATTCAGGGCGATCGCAGGCGACGATATTGATTGGTCACGGAGAATGTGTGCTCGACCCCAAATGAGAACGTTCAATTGTTTGTGACAACAC